TCGACATCAGGGAGGGAGGGAGGCCTGAAGGACATGCCGGAAGGAAAAAGAGAACGTCCCTCACAAGGCCCGCAAAGAGTCTATCCCCCTCTTTCAGTCTCCGTTCCCCTTTACCTGTCTTCCCAATCTCTCCAAGAGGGGGCCATAGGCCGCCCGAGGGAAGGCTCCCACCACTGCCCCGCCCACAAAATGCACGAGGCCCTTGGGCGGCGCCGAAGCTTCTGGAAAGAATACGTCCACGCCCTCGTCCACCCGCTGCCACTCCCCTCCCTGTGTTCCCGGCTTGGTACGTGGTTGGGTGCGTAGGGACGGTGCAGAAGACAGGTCATCCTCGTCGAAGACTTGGGCGCGGGCGGTAAGGCGGGTGGTGGAGGCGCGAAACCGCGAGGGAGGCCAGGCCGCCGAGGAGGTGGAGGAGGAGGAAGACATGCAGGTCCGGAAACGTGCCATGGTGGAGGGCGACTCTGTGGGAGGGAAGGGTGCGCGAGAGGGGCGAGGACGCGGCATGAAGACCCCCGGGCATGGAAAGGCAAACATGCCATGCACAGCACCCGGTGTGGTGCACGCGTCGGTAAAAGATACACGCGCGCGGAAAGATAGAAAGGGAAAAGGAGATAAAGGTGCTTATTACGGACCAGAAAAAGGACTGGGGACACGTGCATGTGGGCGTAAAACGAGGGCATGACTGAAGCATATATCCCGACTGCTCATGGCAAGGCTTGCATCCATCGTCCTTCCGCCGTCACTACGGCTTCCACTTTGACCCCACGCCTGCACGTAGGGAGATGTGGACACTGGATAGCGGACAGGGGGAAAAAGTGTAAAGAAGGAGGGTATCAGAAGGCGATTGATTATGACTCGACACAGTGGAGCATCGTGCGTTGGACGTACATAATAGGGAGACACAAAGCAGGCCCCGGCTTGCCATCACAGTGAAAAGAAAGGACGGCCTGGTGATGCGGTGTTCGTTGCGTGAGCTCACAGGCTTGAGATGTGTCGACGCAAGCCCCGAGAAAGAGGAGGAGGGGGGGCAGGAGGTAGAACCAGCAGTCACAAAGAAGTGGACACTGTGCTCCGCAAAGACCTTCCCTTGAGCCACAAATGCGCGGGCCTTAGTGTCCTGTGGATTGAAATAAGTATTGTGGTATCAATGTGGACATCGTTCTGACATTTTGTGGCCTTCACCGGGGGAAAACGGCAGCGGTTCGAGGGAAAGGAGCCCCCTCCTTCGAACGTAGCAACGTGTTGCCCTCCTTTTTGCTGTTTGTGGGCCGTTCTTTTTAGAAACATTTCACCCGCGTGGCAAGGATTTTTTACGGCCAGTTTCTTGTACTGTTCTGTCCTGTCTTCTCGCGAGCAAAATCATGTGTTGGCTATCGTGTGTGGTGTGCTGAATAACAAAGTTTCGCGACGAGAAGCGTCGCCCTAAAAACCTTCAACACACAGGCACGAGGTCGTCAGACCCAACTGCCCTTTCCCGTCCTTGCCGTCCACTCTCCTCATGAATTCCATGGCATCTTTCGCATCTCTTCAACCTGAAGCACACAAATGTCGTAGCAGGGGGCCATTATCGTTTTTCACCAAAGGGGCTCCCACTGTGGTACCGGGAAGCCCAACTTTCTACATATTCCTTGCTGACCCCTCGACCAAGACCGCGCTGCACAAACCCCAGCCGCGCGTTTCATCGCTCGCTTTACCATGAAAAAGGACCACCCCGACTCACGCTCGCGTCCCGCTCCCTTTCGAATCTCCATCCCGTCGTTGGTGGAGGCCGGGAGCCGGGAGCAAGCCCAAGTAGGAAGACAGCCTGTCCCTCCTACCGTCCTCCTCCCAAGATCCACCCCAGCAACGACCGCGACGGCGCCTCCATACGCACCTTCCACGAATGGAAAGGGACCGGGAAGAGTGGAAGACGGTAGAGGTGGAGGGAGGCTTGGAGAAGGGGGTGGGGGGGCCTCCCTTCCGCAGGCATCAGTACCCTGGGGGCGTGGCCAAGAGGCAGTATTTGACGCGAAGCACCGAGGAAGCATGACCCTCCCTATCCTTCCCCCGTCGCATAACCTCAGTGCAGGTACGTCCATGCTATGTCCGCCTTTGCTTTTTCGTGTAATTCTTGCATGGAAAGGCCACTCTCCTCGTCGCGTCTTTGCCCCGTAAGCTCAGGCCTCCCTCCCTCCCTTTCACACATGCACCGCCCTCCCTCGTCCTCGCCCTTACAGGAGTCAATGTCATCAGCGTCTCCCCACGCCAAGAAGGCAATCCGGTTTTGAAAAAAATCAAAAACGTGCGCTATCAGTTCATCCCTGGCATTGTCCCCGACTATGGTCAGTGCCATTCGTCCTTTGCCCTCTCTCCCTCTCTCGATTCCCACCTTGATCCCTCCTATTGTTTCCCCTCCTCGTCACCAGAGCCTTGGGACCTTTGCTCTTTTTCCTGGGGGAGCTCGCCTCAATCTGCCTCTTGACCCCCCCGTCGTTTTCCTCCTTCTTCCTCGCTCGCCCTTTTCTCCCTCCTTTTCCAGTGCTGGGCGCGTACACATGCTGTATCTTTATCTCCCTTCGGTACCACCTTTTGCATGGCCAATACCTGTTTCAGCGGGTGAAGGAATTGCGACGGTGAGATAGAAAGGAGGGAGGGAGGAAGGGAGGGAAGGAGGGAGGGAGAGAGACGAAAGGTTTCGCATTTGCTGACCTGGCAGCAGTCCCACCACCGCTCCATCGTCTCAGAAACCTCCCCTCCCTCCCTCTCTCCCTCCCTCCCTTTCTCCTTCCCCCGACCCTAGGGACTACCGCCTGCGCCTGATCCTCTGCCTGGTGGACGATCCCAACAACAAGGAACCCCTTCTCCACATCAACACCCTCGCCATCCGGGAAAACTGCACCCTGGTCCTGGCTTGGTCCACGGCGGAGGCGGCCAGGTGGGGAAGGAGGGAGGGAGGGATAAGGGAGGGAGGGAGAGAGTCCCTCTATCCACCGCCTCCTTGTATCCAGTCTGGCTCCAGGACGGTGGCGACTATTGAAAGCCTGCTCAGAGTCTCATCTCCCTCCTTACCTCCCACCCTCTCTGCCTCCCTCCCTTCTCCAGGTACTTGGAAACCTTCAAAGCTTACGAGAACAAGTCGAGCGAAAGCATCCAGGAGCGGATCGACGACAACTACACGTCACGGTGGGGGAAAGTGGGGTCCAGGGCGGGACGGAGGGCGGGACGGAGGACGGGGCGGAGGGCGGGGAATGGAAACCATTGAGGTCGCTTCTCCTTACCGTCTTATGTGAGAGAGAGTGGTCCCTCTTTCCCCTTC